TTTCCCGATCCCTTCTTTAAATGTTACTTTGCTCAAACCCCAACAGCACGTAAGTATTAAAACCATTTGTCTCCATTCACTCCTATCAAACACGCTCACGCATGCTGCTGGAAGTCCAAGCCCCTCGCACACAAAACCTCCTTTACCCCCTCCCTCCCAACCCCTTTCCCAGGCCGACCCCTACCCCGCCTTCCTTCCACTACAGACTGATACACTCTTGAAGTCATTTGTTTCGCCCCCATTCTCTCTACATGTCCGAACCCCTCAACAACCCTTCCTCAGCCCTTGGACAACGTTTTTGGTAATCCCGCACCTCCCCCTAACTTCCAAACTACGAAAATTTTCTGCATTATATTCACACCACACATTGCCCTCAGACATGACATCTCCCCTGCCTCCAGCCTTCTCCCCGCTGCAACATTCATCACCCACGCTTCACACCCATATAAGAGCGTTGGTAAAACTATACTCTCATACATTCCCCTCTTTGCCCCCAAGGACAAAGTTCTTTGTCTCCACAGACTCCTAAGTGCACCACCACTCTTTTTCCCTCATCAATTCTATGATTCACCTCATCTTTCATAGACCCCTCCGCTGGGGGCACGTCCACTCCCAATATCTGAATACATTCACTCCTCCATACTCTCTCCCTCCAATCTGATATTCAATCTTTCATCACCTAATCTTTTTGTTATCCTCATAACCTTACTCTTTCCTGTATTCACCTTAATTTTCTTCTTTTGCACACCCTACCAAATTCATCCCCCAATCTCTGCAACTTCTCTTCAGAATCTCCCAAGAGCACAGTGTTCAGCAAAGAGCAGCTGTGCAACTCCCACTTTGTGTGTGATTCTTTATCTTTTAACTCCACGCCTCTTGCCAAGACCCTCGCATTTATTCTCTTCAAAACCCCCTCTATAAATATATTAAACAACCACGGTGACATCACACATCCTTGTCTAAGGCCTACTTTTACTGGGAAAAAATTCCTTCTTTCCTACATACTCTAACTTGAGCCTCACTATCCTCGTAAAAACTCTTCACTGCTTTCAGTACCTACCTCCTACACCATACACTTGCAACATCTGCCACATTGCCCCCCTATCCACCCTGTCATATGCCCTTTTTCCAAATCCATAAATGCCACAAAGACCTCTTTAGCCTTATCTAAATACTGTTCACTTATTATGTTTCCTGTAAACACCTGGTCCACACACCCCTACCTTTCCTAAAGCCTCCTTGTTCATCTGCTATCCTATTCTCCGTCTTACCCTTTTAAATTTTTTCAATTATAACTCTACCATTTCACTTTACCAGGTACACTCAACAGACTTATCCCCCTATAATTTTTGCACTCTCTTTTATCCCTTTGCCTTTATACAAAGGAACTATGCATGCTCTCTTTCCAATCCTAGGTACCTTACCCTCTTCCATACATTTATTAAATAATTGCACCAACCACTCCAAAACTATATCCCACTGCTTTTAACTTCTATCTTTATCCCATCAATCCCCGGGTGCCTTACCCCCTTTCATTTTTCCTACTGCCTCACGAACTTCCCCCACACTCACAACTGGCTCTTCCCCCACTCCTACAAGATGTTATTCCTCCCTTTCCCTATACACGAAATCACAGCTTCCCTATCTTCATCAACATTTAACAATTCCTCAAAATATTCCTTCCATCTTCCCCAATACCTCTAACTCTCCATTTAATAACTCTCCTCTCCTATTTTTAAAATGACAATCCATTTGTTCTCTAGGCTTTCTTAACTTGTTAATCTCACTCCAAAACTTTTTTTTATTTTCAACAAAATTTGTTGATTTAAAATCTCACCCACTCTCTCATTTGCTCTCTTTTTACATTGCTTCATTAAAATTTCTTGACAGTGCCTCTCCCACTCTTTCATCTGCTCTCCTTTTGCACTCTCTCACCACTCTCTTCACCTTTCTTTTACTCTCCATATACTCTGCTCTTCTTATAACACTTTGCTTTTTTAAAAACCTCTCGTAAGCTACCTTTTCTCTTTTATCACACCCTTTACTTCATCATTCCACCCAAACCTCCTCTTTCCTCTGCCCCCACCCTCCTATAACCACAAACTTCTGCCCCACTTCTAATACTGGCATTTTTAAAAATATTCCAACCCTCTTCAACCCCCCACTACTCATCTTTGCACTAGCCCACCTTTCTGCCAATAGTCGTTATATCTCGCCCGACTTCCTCCTCCCTTAGTTTTACACTTTCACCCACCCCCTTACTTGTTGTTTCCACCTTCCTCTTTTCCCATCTACCTCTTACTTAACTGTAGCTACAACTAAATAATGATCCGATATATCAGTTGCCCCTCTATAAACATGTACATCCTGGAGCCTACCCCTCAACCTTTTATCCACCAATACATAATCTAACAAACTACTTTCATTACGTGCTACATCATTACCTTGTATATTTATTTATCCCCTTTTTCAAAAATATGTATTACTTATTTCCAAATTTCTTTTCACACATAGCTCAATTAAAGGCTCCTATTTACATTTACCCCTGGCACCCAAAATTACCCACTACTCCCTCCATAACATTTTTACCCACTTTAGCATTGAAATCCCCAACCACCATTACTCTCACACTTGATTCAAAATCCCACGCATTCACTCAACATTTCCCAGAATCTCTCTCTCTCCTCTACACTTCTCTCTTCTCCAGGTGCATACACGCTTACTATAACCCACTTTTCACATCCAATCTTTACTTTACTCCACATAATCCTTGAATTTATACATTTGTAGTCCCTCTTTTCCTGCCATAGCTTATCCTTCAACATTATTGCTACTCCTTCTTTAGCTCTAACTCTATTTAAAACCCCTGACCTAATCCCATTTATACCATTGTTATTTAAATTATTTAATATGCTGTATCTCTTACAAGCTTCAGAGGAGGTTGTATAAGAAAAGAGCAAGGTGATGAAAGTAACAAAAAGTTCAGGTAATGATAAATTGGATATCATATTGGGAGGAATAATGGAAGCAGTGAATGCATTAGGATATTTAGGAATGGAATGGATGGTAGATGGAAGATAAGGTCAACCAAAGAACAGATTAACATAGGTAAAATGATAGTGAGACTGTTGAGGCATCTTTGGAGAAAAAGATTTATCTATGGAGGCAAACAGAGGAATGTCCCAGAGTATGTAACAACCCCTTTTATAAGACTGTGAAACACAGGTTTTATAAGTTGTACCATGGAGGAGGCTGAAGGTAATGGAGATGTCATGTAAATTTAAGTGCAATTTGTGGCATGAATATTATGAAAAAGATACTGAGCATGGAATTCAAAAATCTATGTGAGGTTACAAAAGATATTACTCAGAAAGCAGAGGAGGGTTTATAGAGGTGGTGTGGCATTTAGAAAGGATGGAGCAAAATAGGATGACCAAGAGGTACATAAATCCAGGGTGGTAGGGAGTTATTCTAGGAAGATTCAGAGGGAAGGGTGTGAAGGTTTTAACCCTTTGAGGGTCCGTCCCGTAGATCTACGGCTTTACGTTCAGGGTCCAAACTGTAGATCTACGTCATGAGCTCAGCTCACTCTGATAAACTGAGTGGTACATTTGGGCCTAGATATGAGACAATACATCTATGTGGTATGTGTGCACCACATAAAACAGATCCTGCAGCACACTGTGTATAATGAGAGAGAAAAAAACTGAAATCATGATTTTTCAATTAAAACAGCGACTTTGCAGTGTTTTTCCGTATGTTTTTTATAGTTCTATTTGCGATTTCTTGGTCTCATTTGATAGAATGGAAGACATATTACAGAAATTGAGATGATTTTGATTGGTTTTAGCACTGGAAATGGCTTGAAACTGAGCTCAAAGTAGCAGAAATGTTAAATTTTTGCCGATATTCAAGAGTAAACAAACGACCTCACACGTCTAATACACGCCAGCTGGTGGGTCTAATATGCATTCACAAATATGGTGATGATATTTATACAATTATTACAGTATTCCATAACAATAAATCTTCTATTTTTTGGTGTGAATGAAAATTCATTATGTGAATAAAAAATCAAAATGAAATTTATTTGTAAAGCTTCAAAACGTAACTAATGAACAGAGGAAATGTTAGTTTAGTTCCAGGAATACCTACATTGTTTATTCTGGACCCTATTTTGAAATTGGAATATTTTGAACTTTGTGTTAAATTGTCCAAATTAACAATTTCCGATCACTTTAATTTGTAGTTGAAACAGTTGACTTGGCGATTTCTTGTGCTCAATCGATAGAATAGAAGTAATACTAGTGAAATAGCTAAGAATTTGGTTGACTGGAATAATGTAATTGGCCTAAAATGGGAGTCAAAGTCGGCAAAATCGCTGATTCGTAAATATCACTGACACATCAAAATTCGCGAGAGCATAATTTCGTCAATTTTCCATCAAATTTCGTACTTTTTGTTTTATTACCTTCACAAAAAGATTATCTACCATTTCATAAGAAAAATAACAAATTTTTTTTTTAAATTCTTGGACACTGGGGCACCACTTCAGATTTGGGCCTTGGACCCTGAAGGGGTTAAATGTAAGGGGCTTGCATATCCAGCAAACATGTGCAAGTATGTTAGATTGGGGAGAGTTTTAGGGACTATGTGCTATAAAGTGTGAGCAAGGTTAACATTTATGAAAAGATTCAAGAAATCAGTTAGATGGACTAAAGTGTTGGAGGTGGGAAGTATAGTGTCTGCACTCTGTAGGAGAGGTAAGTATTTTACAGTTCATAGGGTTATATGAATTGTGATATCTGCACACCTTTGGCAAGAGAGCAACTTAACAAATGATGATGAATGTTTTTTTTTTTTTTTGGGGGGGGGGCTACCTTGGTGGGAGAAAGTTAATATAACATTCTTTTACATAGAAACTTACTACTGTACTCTGCTATATTATAAAACTCTTGAGTTTAATTTATGATAAAATTTATGATTATCAAACACCATACCTGTGATTTTTGTCGGCCTTGGAAGTCTATGTTGAGAGGGTTAACAACAACCTTTGACTTCCCACGACCCTCCAATTGTCCTAGCACCATCACATGTTGCGAGATAACATCGAAAGGAACAATGATGGTCTGACCCACCAGAGAGGCACACCCACCCCCAATTAATGCTCTGATCCTGGAGTCTTGTACCCCACGCTGCTGAAGGAAATGACGGACATTCTCATAGGTGGTGATGTAAGCAATCCCAGAGACTAGCTGAAAGGCACTTACCCAGAAACCTTTATAAAGACCACCCACACCTGTTGAAAAAGCAGCTATTAATTTTTTAAATGTATATACTTTATTTTCTATCAAAGCAATATTCCCTATACTATACCAAAAGTACATATGTATTAATGAAAAAAAGTTACAGGAAACTGCTTGCATAGTACATGTACTGAATGAATCAAGTAATATATGAACACAATACTAAAGTCTTATGACTTATTTTAAGAAAGCTATTGAGAAATGATGCAAGAATAAAATACAAGATCTTGCTCATAAATAGTCAACAAAATTTACATTAAATTATGATAGTATTATTATTACTACATTACATTTACAGATATTTATCACACTTTATCCACGAAAGCAAGGAGAGGAATGTATGAGAGTATGGTTATACCAATCCTCTTGCTTGGATGCGAGGCATGGGTAGTGAATGTTGCAACAAGGAGAAGGCTGGAGGCAGTGGAGATGTCATGTCTGAAGGCAATGTGTGGTGTGAATATAATGTAGAGAATCCGTAGTTTGGAGATTAGGAGGAGGTGCGGGATTACCAAAACTATTATCCGGAGAGCTGAGGAGGGGTTATTGAGATGGTTTGGACATGCAGAGGCTGGAATGAAACAGAATGACTGAGAGTGTATAAATCTGTAGTGGAGGGAAGGCGGGGTAGGGGTTGGCTTGGGAAAGGTTGGAGGGAGGAGGTACAAGTTTTGTGTGCGAGGGGCTTGGACTTCCAGCAAATGTGCGTGAGCATGTTCGATAGGAGCAAATGGAGACAAATAGCTTTTAGGACTTCACATGCTGCTGGAGTGTAAGCAAGGTAACATTTATGAAAGGATTCAGGGAAACCGGCAGGCTGGACTTGATTCCTGGAGACGGGAAGCACAGTGCCGGCACTCTGAAGGAGGAGTGTTAATGTTGCAGTTTTATAACTGTAGTGTAAGCATGCCTCTGGCAAGACAGTGATGGAGTGAATGATGATGAGAATTTTTCTTTCTCGGGCCACCCTGCCTTGGTGGGAAATAGTCGATGTGTTAATAAAAAATAAAAAATATCTATTATGCGTTCTAGACATACCACTATGCCTGCAAACTTATGTATATCCTTATGTTAACATTCTCACTTATACTGTATACCATACTTTATCTTTACACATATGTTCTTATTCACCTTCTTGCATTAGATACATACACCCTTAACACATGCTCATACTATAACAGAACCATCTTTATTATAAATCACATTCTCATAAAACTTTTCTGGGCCCACTACAGCCCTGTGTAAATCATAATGCTTTATTCCAATTTACAGTTTAAGATTTTGTTAATTAGCTATTAAATTCTTTAAGGATTTCAATGTGTCTGAATATCTGCTACATACACATTTGTAACTAGCTGGTTAACATTAAACTAATTTACAAAAGAATTATTTTTTATTTAATCCTTAATCAATCTTTGAAGCATTGTGTATTATGGGAAGAAGACTATTTTATATATACAACACAGGTATTTACTAACAATCATTGACTGTACTTACTAAGGAACTCACACAGCTTAAACATACACTAATGAATAAACATACTTGAATAAAATTCTTATAAGATGACCACAATAATGTAATGCTTTTAAATAAACATATGAAAACAAACTGAATTACTGTACCTTCACATTTGAATATCTTCTGGAATGCATCGAATGTGCCTTTGTAGACTTCAGAGTGCCTTTGGATTTGGATACGTGTCTTGATAACAGTAAATGGATAGAGCATACATCTTACAGAAAAAGAGCTGAGCATCGACAGTGGGAAAAACTTGTATTTGTTCATCATATCCCATTCAATTGTCTGGATATAGTGGCCACTGCCATCAATATTTGGCACACCTAGAGATTCCATGGTTCTTTGTGAGAGCACTATGAGACATCCCTCACCCTATCGTCAGTACTGTGCTACCATCCCTCAGCTTTCATAAAATCACTGACACAGTTATAAATATTTCCAATGTTTATATTAAAATCCTGTATACAATTTTTTGAAGCCATAACATTTATTTCCATATGATGAATTAGTGAATAATCATAAAGTATCAGTGTATTTTCAAACAATAAAACTATTATGACTCACTTTTTACATCTAATATATACAATATTAGAATATATTGTATTCTCATCACTCTTACAAAGTTAAAAATTCAAAACTATTCAATAAACAGTATACTGTATGAACTTACTGTATATAAATAGAGTATATACAGCACTGAGTTTTTCATAAAAAAAAAAAACTAAACGAAAACTTGTAATAAGAAATATTTCTCAAGCAATACTGGAGTTTACCTGCAAAACAAAAAGTTTCACAAATCCTTAACACAGTACTGTACTACCACTGTTACACCAGAAGTACGTCTTTCGTTTTATAAAATAAAATCTCTCATGTACAGCACAAATGAATTATGATGCTGAGGTGGATTTCAAATTAATTTTCATTATTTCCCATTTTCACTATTATTACCTCACAAACTCCAGACAACTCCTACTGTTCTACTTTTTTTTTTTTGTAAATGTATTTGTATATAGATAATGCATCAAAATAGGCCAGCCAGAGGAGTTTTTCAAATATCTTTGTTTAATCTCATTGTGGTGTAGTAGTAGGGCGAGCTCTCTCAGTGATTATCAAACACTCTTGGTGAGAGTAAACGAAGCATATTTTTGTGTCATGATCTTGCTCATAAAAATAATAAGAGAAGGAAACTCAGGTTCATAATGAACATCTTCACATCTGTGGATGTTACTGCTAAACACTTGATGTCATTCACACACCCAACCTGAAAATAGGAATACCGCAATACATACAGTACATGTACTTAATAAGAGTACTAGTGCACTACAATATATTTACAGTAGAGATATTCTAAAGTAATAGGTAAATTTGGTGTACTTGAACTAGTTGAATATTCAATTTTCTTGTATTCACTGTAACTTCCCTAATGGCCATATGTACAATTATAACATTGTTATTGCCTTATTAATCTTAAGTTAGTCTTTAGTTTGCCCAAAATGCTCTGCATATAAAGGGGCTTTTGGTATGTTCACTAAACTGTTACACTCCTTTGTACAAACATGTATCATGCAAAAATAAAATAAAAGAAAAATTGTTTACAAGGAGTGGAATTTCAGTTAGTGATTCATTATTTCTTGTGAAGCATTTCAGGAAAGTCTGCTAGGTCCATTACTACCCACTAGGCAAACCTAGGTAACTGCCTGAAGGCTCTGTTTGATCCAAAGAATGGTAGTAGTAATCCTCCCCTTTCTTGGATCAAACTCAATCATCTCACATTCCTCAGGTGCTGTATGACCCTTATTAATTCAGTGCTTCCCATTAAAATACATAAAAATAATAATAATAATAATAGTAAACCCTTACAAGATTAGTGCAGGTGATGTTCATTTTTCATCGATTAATTTTTTCCAAGAATGCCTGTGATCTCACAGACATTACCAAGTAAGAAGTCTCTGATATTTTCCTACTGGTGAAGTTATCCCATATATAAATTTGGTAAAGCTTTCAACAAGCATGGACCTAACTAAATCCTAAATTACATAGTTGGATAACATAGTTTTTTCAACAAAATACCAAAAACTGCAGCCTAGTGAACTTGCTGATAAAAAAGAATTGAAAAGTCTGATATAATAATACTAATACTGTAATAATAATAATCTTTTCCACAAGTACACGTATACAAGGTATACAGGCCTTGCTGACATCAATGACATACTACTAATATAGAAAGCCCCTTGTTATGCTGAGAATTTAGGGCAAAGTAAGTTTGTCCCCAGGCTGTGACCCACACCAGTTGACTAACACCCAGATACACGTACCTATTTTACTGCTAGGTGAACATGAACAGCAGGTGTCTTAAGAACACACATCCTAATGTTTCCACCCATACTGGGGATCAACCCCCAAGACCTCAGTGTTCAAGCCGAATGTGCTAACAATCGAGCTACAGGATACTTAGATTTTTTACCTACTTTTAGGTAAGCAGTATCAAAATGATTACTACAGATATATTCACAAAGGCAAGACCAAGCAGTAATTATTATCATGACATCTCTGACTCATAAACAAGGCTGTACTTCAAAAGGAAATTGAAAATACCATAAACTCCCATGGTAGCACCATAGAACTCGGCATTTGACTTGATACAGTACTAGTAAAAGGCCCTTGATCCAGGGAACTGGAGCTACTCTCCCTTTCTCTGGATAGAATCTGATGACATCTCACACGTCATATTCCCCAGCTGTTGTATGACCCTTGTATGACCATAACACTTGTCCTATCAAGACCGCTGTAAAAATAATTTATATGTTATCCAAGATTAATAAGTTTTTATTTAGGATTTAGATATGTAGCACAGAACTGTTTTTAAAATGTACATACAGTGGAACCTCTACTTGTGAGTTTAATCCGTTCCATGACCTTGCTCGCAACTGGATTTAATCATTTGCAGAGTCAATTTTCCTCATTTAAATTAACTGAAATGCAATTAATCCATTCCATTGGAATTCTGTGCTTCAATAATTTCGTTAATGTCAACTCTACGGCTTATTTACCTATCTCACTTCATCTACTATGACATAATAAACAATATAAATAACATAGAAACCTGATATATATACTCTAAAATTAATAAAATATGCAATTCATGTAGTGGTATGGGCAGTGTCGATGGTGGACGAGAGTTTGTCTGGAGACCGGACAAAATACTTCTGGAATAATTTCGCTAACAATGATGATCTGATCAGAAATGTCACCATATCAAAAACAATATACTCAGATCACAACATAATTGAGGTTCAGACATGTATGCGTGGAGCCCCAGACCGACATAATGAGACTAGTCACGAGGGAGCATTCACCAAATTCAACTTCAATAACAAAAACATTAAGTGGGACCAAGTAAACCAAGTCCTAACCGATATAAGCTGGGAAGATATACTAAGCAACACAGACCCCAACTTATGCCTAGAACAGATTAACTTGGTGGCACTCGATGTATGCACAAGGCTTATTCCTCTAAGAAAAAGGAGGAGTAGATGTAAAATAGAAAGAGACAGGCGCTCCCTTTACAGGCGACGGAAAAGAATAACAGAGCGGCTAAAAGAGGTCAATATATCTGAAATGCGTAGGGAGACACTGGTCAGAGAAATAGCAAGCATCGAACTTAAGCTAAAGGAATCTTATAGGAGTCAGGAATCGCGGGAAGTACTAAAAGCCATAAATGAAATCGAAAGAAACCCAAAGTATTTCTTCTCCTATGCCAAATCAAAGTCGAGAACAACGTCCAGTATTGGGCCCCTACTTAAACAAGATGGGTCCTACACAGATGACAGCAAGGAAATGAGTGAGCTACTCAAGTCCCAATATGACTCAGTTTTTAGCAAGCCGCTAACCAGACTGAGAGTCGAAGATCAAAATGAATTTTTTATGAGAGCCACAAAATTTGGTTAACACAAGCCTATCCGATGTTATCCTGACGCCAAATGACTTCGAACAGGCGATAAATGACATGCCCATGCACTCTGCCCCAGGGCCAGACTCATGGAACTCCGTGTTCATCAAGAACTGTAAGAAGCCCCTATCACGAGCCTTTTCCATCCTATGGAGAGGGAGCATGGACATGGGGGTCGTCCCACAGTTACTAAAAACAACAGACATAGCCCCACTCCACAAAGGGGGCAGTAAAGCAACAGCAAAGAGCTACAGACCGATAGCATTAACATCCCATATCATAAAAATCTTTGAAAGGGTCCTAAGAAGCAAGATCACCACCCATCTAGAAACCCATCAGTTACACAACCCAGGGCAACATGGGTTTAGAACAGGTCACTCCTGTCTGTCTCAACTATTGGATCACTACGACAAGGTCCTAAATGCACTAGAAGACAAAAAGAATGCAGATGTAATATATACAGACTTTGCAAAAGCCTTCGACAAGTGTGACCATGGCGTAATAGCGCACAAAATGCGTGCTAAAGGAATAAAAGGAAAAGTCGGTCGATGGATCTATAATTTCCTCACTAACAGAACACAGAGAGTAATCGTCAACAGAGTAAAGTCCGAGGCAGCTACGGTGAAAAGCTCTGTTCCACAAGGCACAGTACTCGCTCCCATCTTGTTCCTCATCCTCATATCCGACATAGACAAGGATGTCAGCCACAGCACCGTGTCTTCCTTTGCAGATGACACCCGAATCTGCATGACAGTATCTTCCATTGCAGACACTGCAAGGCTCCAGGCGGACATCAACCAAATCTTTCAGTGGGCTGCAGAAAGCAATATGAAGTTCAACGATGAGAAATATCAATTACTCAGATATGGTAAACACAAGGAAATTAAATCTTCATTAGAGTACAAAACAAATTCTGGCCACAAAATAGAGCGAAACACCAACGTCAAAGACCTGGGAGTGATCATGTCGGAGGATCTCACCTTCAAGAACCATAACATTGTATCAATCGCATCTGCTAGAAAAATGACAGGATGGATAATGAGAACCTTCAAAACTAGGGAGGCCAAGCCCATGATGACACTCTTCAGGTCACTTGTTCTATCTAGGCTGGAATATTGCTGCACACTAACAGCACCTTTCAAGGCAGGTGAAATTGCTGACCTAGAAAATGTACAGAGAACCTTCACGGCGCGCATAACGGAGATGAAACACCTCAATTACTGGGAGCGCTTGAAGTTCCTAAAACTGTATTCCCTGGAATGCAGGTGGGAGAGATACATGATTATATACACCTGGAAAATCCTAGAGGGACTAGTACCGAACTTGCACACGAAAATCACTCACTACGAAAGCAAAAGACTTGGCAGACGATGCAACATCCCCCCAATGAAAAGCAGGGGTGTCACTAGCACGTTAAGAGACCATACAATAAGTGTCAGGGGCCCGAGACTGTTCAACTGCCTCCCAGCATACATAAGAGGGATTACCAACAGACCCCTGGCAGTCTTCAAGCTGGCACTGGACAAGCACCTAAAGTCGGTTCCTGACCAGCCGGGCTGTGGCTCGTACGTTGGTTTGCGTGCAGCCAGCAGCAACAGCCTGGTTGATCAGGCTCTGATCCACCAGGAGGCCTGGTCACAGACCGGGCCGCAGGGGCGTTGACCCCCGGAACTCTCTCCAGGTAAACTCCAGGTATGTATATGGCTTATTTATCTATCACAGTTCATCTAATATGACATAATAAACAATATAAATAACATAGAAACCTGATATATACTCTAGAATATATATGTGGTGGTGGCGGCACCACATATATCAAATGAGACCAAAAAAAAAAATGAGAATACAACAATAAAAACCATACGAAAATGCGGCTAAGGGGTGGCTGATTGCTGAGAAGTGAATTCCATTATTTATGCTTAGATTTCTTTCATTTTTGGTGTACATTAAGAAGAATCTTTCCATCATACATTGCCCAAGTTTCAATAAGATAGTCTAACAAACAAATGAGATACAATTCCCTAGATCAAGAGCAAGAGCCCCTCACCAGCGTCAAGGAACCTGCCTTGAGGTGTGCTCGCTTATGGAAATTTTGCTCGCGTATGGAAACAAAAAATCGACCCATCAACTGCTCGTATTTGGAAAAGCTCACACCTGGATGCGCTCGCAAGTAGAGGTTCCACTGTATATATTTAGCCTAGGATATCTCAACACTGGGGTCCCTGTGAAATCTACATCATGTGCTTTTGTGTGTCCTTAGGGCACTGTAAATGAAAACTATATAAACATTATGCACAAACCTTAAAAAAAGGTTACAACATAAAATGCTTAGACAGGAATAGACAAGGTGGTGGGGTATGTGCCTATGTAAGAAATGACTTAGCTTACAGTCCAAGCCCCAATTTGAATGGCAATAAACTGGAGATTCTATGGTCTGAGGTATTGCTGCCCAACACCAAACCTATCCTAGCAGGAACTAGTTCCCCCCCCCCATCTACGAAGAGTTTGTGGAAAACTTTTCAAGAGTCTTGTCCAGAATTGAGCACAATTGTGAGAATAATACTGGGAGACTTCAATATCTGTTATCAACAGCAAAATAACAGGCTTGGCAAGAGGTATAAGCAAATTCTGGGATTCAATAGTTACACTCAACTAACTAATGCAGTAACCCGAATCACACAGTTCTCTGCCACCACCACACTCGACCACATACTTTGTAACTGCTCTGATAACATTAGTCAGTCAGGCATCAATACCACAGGTCTTAGTGATTATTTCATCATTTATTGCACCAGGAAAATCATTAGAGAATGAATAGGCCTACACAGGATAATAAAAATGAGGTCATTTAGAACCTACAGTAATGAAATACTGGTAAACAGATTACACAATTGGACTGTGATAAGTTGCACGGACATAAACTGAAGCCTAGGAAACATTCAAAACCATGTTCACTGCCTTCCTTGATAATATTGCATTAGTTAAGAACATAAGAAAGAAGGAACACTGCAACAGGCCTACTGACCCATGCAGAGCAGGTCCATGTCCCCCCCCCCTGGATTAGCCCAATGACCCACCCAGTCTGGTCACCTCCACTCAAGGAAGGAGCACAGCACCAGACCCAGCAGCACAAGCTAGTCAGGTCCAACTCACACCCACCCACACCCACTCATGTATTTATCTAACCTATTTTTAAAAATACACAATGTTTTAGCCTGAATAACTGTACTCGGGGGTTTGTTCCACTCATCCACAACTCTATTACCAAACCAGTAAAGAGGTTAGGGTTAATGAAGAAGTCAACCCTGGACAACTGCTGAGATATGAGATAATATCTAATTCAGGGAACAGTTGCTAAAAAGATTTAAGGTAAACAGACAGGATACTCCAGGGCTAAATGAATTCCAAAGGGCTAGGGACAGATTGCAGGCTTATAAAAGGAGCAAAGGCAAGGCACTATTGCTCAAAAATCAAATACATGTACAAGAATAACCCCAGAAAGTTGTGACAACAACTAAAACAGCTGAGGAATAGCCAAAAACCCATAGATAGATCTAACGTAGTGCTAAATATCAATAACAAAGTACAGTATGCCACGAAACAACTGAAGTGGTAAATTGTTTTAATTCATACTACACATGTTGCATCAATCCTAATAAGTAAACTGGTGGTTGCATCAAATACCTTTAACACAAACTCCAATAAGTTTAAAGCATACTACACTAATAAAGGCATTACCCCAAACAGTTGCTGACTAGTAGATGTATCTTATGACTTCGTGTGAAAAGAACTAAGAAAGTTAAATCCAGCTAAGAGCACCGGTTCAGATAACATTCTAGCTAAGTTCCTAAAAGATGGTACCCTTGAACTGCCAATCCCCATTACACATATAATAAATTTGTGCATCACCAATAATACCATTCTGGAGGAGTTCAAGGAGGCTCGAGTTACTCCTAACTTCAAGAAAAATAGTAGGTCTGATGTCAGCAACTATAGGCCTGTTAGTATACATGTACTCATCGTGATGTCCAAAATTCTAGAGAGGGTGGTGTAGAGTCAAGTAGTTAAGTATCTTAATGACAATAACATTCTCCCTAGTTACCAACTGGATTTTAGGAGATCTTACTTGACTGACACCTACATAATTAATCTGATGGACTACCTGAGAATTGAAATGTCGCTAGATAATCTCATAGGTATGGTAACCTTAGACTTGCAAAAGGCCTTCAATACGGTCAACCACAACACATAATGTAAGAAACTACAAGCTACTGGCATAGTTTCTGTAGACTTGTTTAAATCCTACCCGAGCAATAGGAAACAAATTGTCATAATCAATAACACAGAATCAGAACCCCTGCCAATAGCATGTGGGGTTGCCCTAGGCCACGGGCGACCAGGCCCATGGCCTGGTAGTAAAAGCTCTTGCTTCACACTCTGAGGGTCCGGGTTAGATTCCCAGCGAGGACTGAAACACTGGGCATGCTTCCTTACACCTGTTGTCTATGCTCACCCATCAGTAAAATGGGTATGCGGGTATTAGTTGACTGGTGTGGGTCGCATCCCGGGACAAAAATTTACCTAATTTGCCCAAAATGCTCTGCATAACAAGCGGCTTTCTATGCAGTAGTATGTCACTGATGTCACCTAGGCCTATATACCCTGCAAATGTACTTGTAGAAATAAAGATATTATTATTATTATGTTATGTGAATGACATGCCCATACGTATCAAGTGCAAGTTTCTGTTGTATGCAGACAATAGTGCTCTGTTAAGTGTCAGGTAAAGACCCACAAGATATAGCAAATGCACCATCACTAGAACTAGAGTCCTGCAGCAAATGGTTAATAGACATCAAATTATCGTTACACCTCAGGAAAATGGAACCATACTCTTTGGCACGAAAAATAAACTGAAAAAGGTAAATAATTTTTATGTCCAGTGTAATCAGAAACACTTTACTTCAGTATCTTCAATGAAATATCTGGAAATCCCCTTTTACCCAAGCATGTCAGGAGAACTTATAGGGAACAGTGTAGTAATGAAACCAAATGCCAGACCAGTTTCTGTACACAGTGTCTACCTACTGAGGCTCACCGGACCCTATGTCTAGCTCTTACATCATGCCATATGGATTACTCTTGCTCTTCATGGTACTCTGCCTTAAGAAAAAACTGAAAGATAAACCACAAATCATCCAGAACAAAATGGTGAGATTCATCCTGGACCTGAGTCCAAGACAGCATGTAGGCCAGGATGAATTACAACAACTGGATATGCTGAATATTGAAGACGAGTAAAACAACTGAATTTAAATCACCTTTGTAAAACTGCTCACAAGCTGTGTCCAGAATATCTTGCTGCCAAGTTCATCAAGGTTGGGAACCAAAGCAATTATTGTACTAGGGGAAGAGAACACAACTTTGTAGTACCCACAGTTAGTGGTCAGGCTTCAAACACCTTTTATTATACAGCAGTAAAGGAGTGGAACAGACTGCCTGCACATGTCAAAGTCTGTCACAGCATGAGCCAGTTCAGGAAGAGAGCCAGAAGGTAGGAAAGGAATTTCTTGCATAGCTAACATGCATGTATCTGTGACCCAATCCTCTCTTTAATGTTAATATAAATAACTATCTCCTCTTATTTTAACTGCTTTTCACATAGTTACCAGTTTTATTTTTTAAGGTTTAAATAAGTTATTACAAGGACCCCAATGGAAATAAGTCACGTTGACTTTTTGGGAGTCCTTAGTAATCTACACATATGCTGCTATGTATGATAATTTATATAACTATACATATGTGTACCTGAATAAAGTTACTAACCAGCTTATGAATGGAACACCTAAATAAAAACTCAAGTCACCCACAATAGTTTCCCAGTATCTAAATATTCTTTCATTTTTCTCTAACACTTAATAAAACCCCAGACGTACGGTAGAGCTTGCACTGTGTTAAGTGTGTGTGGAGGTGACAGTGAAGGTCTTACCATTATAAAACACTGAGAGGGAGGACACAATGTGAGCTTCCCTGGCCAGCCATGGTACCCCACACACTGTCCTATCATCTGCATCTCATACCTTCATAATACAATTTTCTATATTAATATACCACTCTTCTGCAATGTTTACACTCAGTATATGATTACAATTAATATAATGATAATTTTAAACTTGTTATAGTATTCTGCTCTGACAGAGTTACATAATGATAATGATTCTCGAATATGAACAATAGAATCGGATTCAGTCTTCGTCTCCTGATCAGCTGTTCTTATTTTAGTTCATTAAATAATTATGGAAGATAGGCATCGTCTTCAATTGCTTACATTAATTACTAATGCAGACTTTATCTATATACATTAACTATTATTACTGTGTGTTCCTTAATGTCTGTCATGTTTACGAACTTCGTTATTGCGTCATCCTGTAATAAAATATTTTTATTACAGGTATTTTTATAGGAGGTAAGATAGGTAGACATCAGCGGTTATACATCCACAGTTTACTAGTAACTGCCTATTTGTAAATACTTGGAAGAGGTTGAACTTCAGCTCCTGGCCCTGCCTCATCAGTGTCAACCATTGAGGTGAAATATTACTGTCATTCTTATTTTTAAACTCATATACTGAGTCCATAAGAACATAAGGAAGAAGGAACACTGCAGCAGGTCTACTGGCCCATGCGAGGCAGGTCCAAGTCTCCTACCGGCTTAAGCCAATGCCCCAACCAAGTCATGTCAGGTCACATTCACCTAAGGAAGGAGCACGGCATTTGACCTAGTAGCACAAGCTAGTCAGGTCCAGCTCACACCCACCCGCACCCACTCACGTATTTATCGAACCTATTTATAAAGCTACACAACGTTCACTTCCACTGCGGCATTCCTCAGGTCATTCCACTTTATCATTTTCAGCTTGATAAAAAAAAAATGCTTTCGGCAATATCTGAGGTTCATTTAATTAATGGCCACCCAATCACGCTATTCGTTCCTGTTAAATACACAATATTATACAGTTACCCTGATCTTTAATATATTTTGTCACGTAAACTCAAATTATTACAGGTATTATATTCACTTATATTTAAAACTTAAAAACAAGTATCTTAACTACAACTACTTTTCACAGTTACTTACCTGTTTTTAACTTTTAGATATAATTAATACTTATCATAAGGACCCCAATGGAAATAAGTCGCTGTCTGACTTTTTTTTTTTTTTTTGGGGTTGTCCCAGGTAATCTACACATGCTGTATGAAAATCTGTATAACTGTATTTATGTGTAATGTCCCTGATTAAAAACTTACTTGCTGAAGAGCGCTAAACCCGAAAGGGTTGTACATCTCATGGGGGGATTGGGAATTATTAAGGTTCCATCCAAGAGGAGGGCAGATCCATTTCCTTGAATCATGAGCCCCTCACCGGCATGAAGGAACCTCCCTTCAGCAGCCAGACAGAAGAAGAGCTGTGTTTACACACCCAACTGTCAGACACGGCAGCATCATGGGGTCTTGTTACAAAGAATTCTTCAACACTTGTTCAACCTTTGGACGAAGACCTACTTCGACTAGTGGATGGTACCACTATGACCCCGCCTCCATCTGCTTCACGTCACCTCACTACAGTATATAAGCCACGTCTACGGCCCTATGCTGTACATTCTACAAGATTGATGGACTGAACACATCGACTCCAGGTTGAGGGACTGATTACCTCATTCTCCTCCTCTCCTTACGCCTTCCTCTTTGTATTGGACTGATGAAGCCACTGTGTGGCGAAACGTTTCCTGAATAAAGATTCCCATATGCTGCATAAGTGTCTCAATCTTCAACTTGTCGGTTTTTCAAACCATTCATCACAACTGTCAGACACGGCAGCATCATGGGGTCTTGTTACAAAGAATTCTTCAACACTTGTTCAACCTTTGGACGAAGACCTACTTCGACTAGTGGATGGTACCACTATGACCCCGCCTCCATCTGCTTCACGTCACCTCACTACAGTATATAAGCCACGTCTACGGCCCTATGCTGTACATTCTACAAGATTGATGGACTGAACACATCGACTCCAGGTTGAGGGACTGATTACCTCATTCTCCTCCTCTCCTTACGCCTTCCTCTTTGTATTGGACTGATGAAGCCACTGTGTGGCGAAACGTTTCCTGAATAAAGATTCCCATATGCTGCATAAGTGTCTCAATCTTCAACTTGTCGGTTTTTCAAACCATTCATCACAACTGTCAGACACGGCAGCATCATGGGGTCTTGTTACAAAGAATTCTTCAACACTTGTTCAACCTTTGGACGAAGACCTACTTCGACTAGTGGATGGTACCACTATGACCCCGCCTCCATCTGCTTCACGTCACCTCACTACAGTATATAAGCCACGTCTACGGCCCTATGCTGTACATTCTACAAGATTGATGGACTGAACACATCGACTCCAGGTTGAGGGACTGATTACCTCATTCTCCTCCTCTCCTTACGCCTTCCTCTTTGTATTGGACTGATGAAGCCACTGTGTGGCGAAACGTTTCCTGAATAAAGATTCCCATATGCTGCATAAGTGTCTCAATCTTCAACTTGTCGGTTTTTCAAACCATTCATCACACCCAGCATCACTTAACGTTTTTCTCTCATGCCAAGTAGAGCTCAGGAAAGGTATGATGTCTGTCCTGGTTTACAGCTCATTTTAGTTTACCGTTTATGCCCCAGAATGGTTTTTATGTCGTTTCTAGGACTTCAATGGAAATAATCGTCTGACTTTTTTGGGTTATCCCAGGTCCTGTACCCAAATAAACTTGCTTACTCATGTTTCTTCTATTCGTTCTTCTAACAACAGACAGACAAGACAGCTTGTTCCATAATAATATAATAATAATATCTTTATTTCTACAAGTACATGTACAAGGTGTACAAGCCTAGCTGATATCAATGACATACTACTATATAAAAAGCCGCTTGTTATACAGAGCATTTCGGGCAAATTAGGTCAATTTTGTCCCAGGATGCGAACCACACCAGTCGACTAACTCCCAGGTACCCATTTTACTGGTGAGTGAACATGGGCAACCGGTGTAGGGAAACACTCCCAATGTTTCTGCCCTCGCCGGGAATCGAACCCGGACACTCACCGTGTGAATCGAGAGCTTTAGCCACCAGGCCACGTGCCTGGTTTTTCAATGCCAGCTGGTCCTGGGGCGTGGAAGCACTCACTACTGATCCCTATTCTGAAACCGGGCAAACATGCTACTCTTTCAGGTTCTTACTATGGTCTTACTGCCATACATGGGTAAGGTGTAGCGGTTGGTGGCTTCCCATTTTCAACAATGGTGGCTAGAAAACACTGTTACCACAAAACCAGAGTGACTTTCACATATTAATTTCAGTTGAGCACCTTAATTACTGGGGACGTTTGGAGTCACTTGACCTGTACTCCCTGGAGTGCAGGCGAGAGAGACCCATCATGATATACACCCGGAAAATCCTAAGGGAACTGGTCCCAAATCTGCACACAGAAATCACTACCTGTGAAAGCAGAAGACTAGGCAGACGGTGCAACAAACCCCTAATGAAAAGTAGGGGCGCCATGAGTACACTGAGAGAAGACACCCTAAGTGCCCGGGACCCAAGACTGTTCAACAGCCTCCCACCAGGCATAGGGTAAATTATCAGTAGATCCCTGGCTACCTTCAATAGGGAGCTGGACAGTTACTTTAAGTCTGTAACCGATCAGCCGGGCTGTGATTTATACATTGGACTAACTTCGGCCAGCAGTAAGAGCCTGGTTGATCAGGCCCTGACCCACCGGGAGGCCTGGTCAAGGACTGGGCCGCGGGGGCGTTGAGCCCCAGAACACCCTCCACGTAAATATCAGGGAAAGCCCCAGGCATCCGTTCTCAGCCTGATACTAGAATCTATGTTTGCCGGGTGTGATGAACATATTTTAAATATATTTTATTTTATATTTTTATTTAGGAAAATTGTATACATCAGAAATGTTCAACTTCCCTATTCTAAATGATAGGCACATAGTGGGAACAAAAGCTAGAAATGTTTCCCCCCGTCATATTCGCTATACAGGATGGGGCTCATAGTGTTGAAATCTGTGTCAGCCTGAGCTCTGAGACTTCAGCAGGGCAATGAAGATATTGTTAGGTATTCCATTACAGATTCAGCAGTTAATGCAACTTCAAATTTTTATTTCAGGATAGCTGGAATTGTTATTACATGAAAATTGCCAGCACTCAGGGTGGCCTCTCCCGACATACACTGGTTCGTTCTTATGTTCTTAAGATATCTACATGGTATCGGAGCGGAGCAACATGTATAGGAGAGGAAAGAAAAAGGGAGTAGGGGAGAGAAATTTGGATTATATTATCTCTTAAGAATACGTACATATATCCACATGGATTACTTGCCATTTTTTTGTAAAAATTGGTGTCACGCCCCTTGTGCAGATATATTGATTGGAATTTCTTGACTGGGAATTTAGAATCAAACGACTTCTAAGAAGTAGTTCAGGGTTGTTTTTTGAAGCAGTTTGTGACAGAGCCTACAAGGGGTAATAACCTGCTTGACTTGGTTTTGGAAACAAGAAAACCCTTGTAAATAATTTAGAAATTACAGAGGAACTCGGCACAAGCGATCACAAATCAATTACCTTTAGCATTGAATGGAAGTATGATAGTAAGGATAATTCAGTAATGGTCCCAGATTTTCGTTTAGCAGACTACAATGGGCTTAGAGAACACTCATCTGTAGACTGGAGTAACGAAGAGAGCTATCAGTATGACAGCTTTCTTAACACAATACATGCTGCCCAAAGGACATTTATCCCATATAAGGAAATTAGATCGAATAGAAATGACCCAAAATGGATGAATAATAGGCTCAAATATCTTTTAGGACAGAAGAAAGGAATTTATAGGCATATCAAAAGAGGTGAGGGTCATCTTATGAATCAGTATATTGACATTAGGAGGGACGTTAACAAGGGGATAAGAAAAGCTAAACGGGACTATGAAATTAAAGTTGCTAGGGATTCGAAAACTAACCCAAAAAGTTTTTTCCAGGTTTATAGAACAAAAGTTAGAGATAAGATAGGTCCCCTTAAAAATAACTCTGGG